AAATGGTAGGGAAGCTCAGTATTTCTGTATAGAGTTGTAGGGGCTGTATTGCAATGTGCTATGGCCTGATATTATGTTCTTATTCCAGTGTGGGGTGTGTGTGGGGCAATGGAAGCTGAGTGATAGGGTCTCTCCAAGTGTTTGCCAGAAGTGAGATGCGTCCTGGTCTTGTGTCTTACAGATAATCTTACAAATAGTCCTTTGCATTTATATCATGCTTTCAACTTTAAAAGGATCATAATGCTGATTGTGTGAACTTAGGCAAATCACAAGAGGTAGTGCAGGAAGGGGTGCATCAGTGCTTAGTTCTTGTGGCCCTTTCTTACATGCCCAGGGAAATGCTGATTGCCACTTTGGGGCCAGGAAGCAATTTTTCTCCAGGCCAGTTTGGCCCCCAGTGATCTTGGAGGTTTTTAAAATCATATTCTGGGTGTGGAACAGGGGTCACTGGGGGGGTTGTGGGGTATTGGTGAATTTCCTGCATTGTGCAGGGGGTTGGACTAGATGACCCTGGAGGTCCCTTCCCACTCTATGAGTCTATGATTCTATAATTCACCCAGGCTGGCTGTGGGCACGCCAGCACCTCTGTCAGGCAGAAGCGCCTGAGATCCTCCTGCTCCCCTTTTCCTTCAAGGGAGAGGGGGGAAAGACTGGATCCCAGGTGCTTCTGCCTGTCAGAGGGGCTGGTGCACACTTCCGGTGATGTCAGGGTGTGTGGCATATGCTAATAAGTTATGCTAATGAGCTCCTGCAGCTCTTTTTCTACGAAATGACCCCTGGCTGTGATAATTATTATTTGAAACACAGGGGAACAACATGTTGCTCAGCAGAAGGGATGTGAAAGCCCTATCTAATACAGTGGCCTGTTTCCTAAAGGCCTACGCATTTTAAAACCATACTCCCCTTCAACAGTGGAGATACAAAAATGCTTTCTAGTGACTCAGACCATTGGTTCATCTAGCTCAGTACTGTCTACTCTGACTGGCAGCAGCTCTCCAGGTTTTCAAGTAAAGTAAGATTTGTCCCAGCACCTAAAGATGCCAGGGACTGAACCCGGGACTTTCTAGATGCAGTGTAAGCCCTCTGCCATGGAGCTACCCTCACTCCTATCAAGCCTGCGCAAACTGTCATGTTACCTAGATTTAGATGCCTGCCTTTCTCCTGATAGGTCAAGAACAGCACTTCAAGCTGAGTTGGCTCATAGCACTTTAACAACCATCATCTCGCTGTTTTCTCAATAGCAAGAAACATTTAAAAGTAGAGAGATCAGGAGAGGCACTCTGCTTATATTTATTTGGATATGCATACCATGCTTTTCTTTCCCTAGGGATCCAAAGCAGCTTACATCACGCTGCCATTTTATTTTATCTGAGCAACAACAATCCCGTGAGGCTAGGTTAGTTGGAGACTGTCTGACCCATGGCCACGCAGCAAGCTTTTGTGAAGATCTGAACCCGGGTCTCTAGTTCCTAGCCCAACACTCTGATCACGCTGGCATGGATCTCCCAGGTACATGGTTCATCAAGATAGTGGTTCCTAGTTTGTCATATGTTTAACCAGTTAACCGTCATTGAAATGTTGCTATTTCTTTTCCAGTACAGCCGAGTATGGAGTTGGATCAACCACTGGTAAAGTAACGTTCAAACAAATTCCTTCAAATTTTTCAAAATGATCATGTATCTCATTTATCTTAGGGCCTCCACAGCACTCCAAACACACTAATATAGCAAACACATTTACAGAATGTGACTTAAGTTACAATCAAATGCATGTCTGTATATTTAAAAATAACAAAATGCGTGGTTCAATCATTGTCCACCCTATCTCCAAATTAGTGATCAAGCAGGCAGCAAAACAGAAAAAGTGGAGTGTATAAACTTTTTTGGTACTGCAGCAAAAACACCTAATATAATCATTGGTTGTATAAAGCAGAGTCAGTGGTAGGGCACAGGTCAAAGCTGTTTTAATATTTATGTTCATTACTCTAGAGAGCAGGTAGAGTGGAAGCAGGAAGACTGAGTCCTATCCCTTATATTGGCAAGTTCCAGGTCCAAAAATATTACTGATCACTGACCGAACATATCCTATAAAGAACCTGAAAAATAGTCACATAATGAAAAAGGCCCAGGAGACAGTCTCACTGTGGACAGTGAGCAGTAGACTAGGCCAGGATCTGCAATCTTGTTGAGCCTGTAAGCACTTTTGGAATTTTGAGAACAGGGAGCAGCACGTACCACCAATAAATGGCTGTCAGGGGGGAGACAATCACAAAATATTAGGAGGTCGCAAGTCAAGTATTGTATGATGGAGGAAACAGTTACTAAAATGGGTGCTTCCCGGCAGACAAAAGTGATGTCTCTGGGGTTCTGCTGAAGTTCTTCCTGCTCCTGAGAGGTGGAGGAAAGCCAGAATTTGTTCCTTGTTTGTTGAAGAAGTAAATAGATGCCAGGAAACCCACTGGTTAGTGCCACTTTGGGGATCACTGGACTAGGTTGACTTACAGATGACCCTTGCCTCATCCAGGAAGGGAGGCAACCTATGCCAAACCTAAAGGGAATGCAGAAACTTATTGTCCAGCATACACTAAGTCTAGAAAAGTATAGGTCTGTACAAAGCCAACTTTTAGCCCAGCCAGAGAGAAAAAAATGACCCAGGAAAGAGCATTTCCACTGGAAGGGTTAAGGACTTCCCTGCCCACTGATGCTTTCCTTGCATGAATTAACCTAAACAAACATATGCTTGGAAACATAAGTTCCACATAGCATCTGGATGTTCAAACTGTGAACCTACACAGAATTCTAAAACCATAAACATTTGCTTCTATAATTTTTGGCTTGTAAAGACTGCAGACCTTTGCTAACAATCTGAATTTTAATTGTTTCAAATTTCTGGAACTCACAGGCAACACTGAGGATATGAGGTCTGTGCACAAAATGATACATTTATTGAAAGAGTATTTTTTTTAATACAAAAGAAAGCTCTGTACATAGTACTGCGATTACTGTCACATCCTTCCAGAAACACAACCCTGGAAATTAACAAACCCCACACATAGCCACTCACACGCACGCATACACACGCATACACACACAAAAAAACCCCAAAAAAACAATCTGTAAAGTGAACTAAAAAAAGATCACCACACAATAAATGCCATTTCTTCCCTGATAAGTGTTCTTACAAGTCAACACTTTAAATTACATGCAACATTAGCGTTTATCCTGCAGGTGCTTTTTGTAGGACAGCAACTTCCTGATTGAGGCAGAGGACTTCCCAGAGCAAGATCTGCAGCACTGGAAGTCAAAAGTAGGTCTACAGAGAAATTCAGAGCAGAACACAGATGCTGCACTTGGCAGAGAGCTCCACATTGGCAACATGATGATTAGAGAATTACTGCTTTGACAATACGCCTCTGTCTCAAGTAGCATCACTATAATATTTCATCAGATTCCCTCTTGAAACAAAAGGATTGAACATTCATAATGCATTTTTCCTTCGTGCTTATTCACTCCACAGTGGGTGAATACATTTGCCTGTTTACCCAGGAGCACGCTTACCCCTGTGCTTGAGAACTGATTGAATGTTAAATCAACCTGTCACGTGGAAAATTTTGCCCATCTCTTGCCTCCCAAGATTTCTGATTAAATACACAACTGTAGCGAAATTCTCATCCTTTGACAGATTGATACAGATCACCATCTTAACAAAATGTTTCCATATACACGGTGATAAACTATGACTTGGTAAAAAAATGCTCTGTATTTGCCCAAGATGTCATGTTCTCTTGAATCCAAACGCTCATCAAAAAGACTGAACCATAAAGCCCTGCAATGGAAAATGGGGTTTAAAAAACCCTGATTCATGGCATCCGTGTATTTTAAGGAGAAAATATTTTAATCATGGAACAAGAGATTGTTCAGCTCAAAGCACAACCACAGTATTAAGAACACAGCTCTTTGGAGATGTTACAGCCTGCAGGGCAGACAGGCAAGCAGAACTGAATTTGGGTTGAACTTGTAAGAATGTAGGAGTGTGCAAATTTAAACCCTTGCACAGGAACACTGTTAGGCAACAGTGGAATTGTTAAAGGCTTCTATCTCTATATATCTCTTTTTGCATTTGCTCATTCCAAGCCGCATGTTGAAGGAACATAACAGGAAGTTTTCAAAAAGCACATCAATTCAACAGTAGCCACCTCACTCCTGCAATGCCCTCCTTGCCAATAGAGAAGAGCATTTCTATAGAGTTCAGAGGTTTTGTGGCTTGATCATGCTTGGAGGGGGGAAAGGGGGGGGCAACCAAAAGGATGCTTTGGCACCTCCTGTCTGCCTCTCTTTCTCTCCTGGATGCCGGAGAATTGCTACTGAACATACATAAGGTTGATGCAAGCAGGGGTTAGGCTTGAGTTTTCCAATCTGGCTGACTGAACCCGACTCGCAAATGCAAATCTGCAACTTCCTTCCTGCATTGGTTCAACCCTTCCAAGAAGCCCAATCCAGGAGCCTGAGACAGGAGACCAGTTTAAACGCTAATGTTCATGGAAATAATTTCAAAAGGTTACAATACAAAGGCCCCTTTTCCTCTCCTTTTCCCTTCCCCACCCTTCCACGGCCCATTTCTTAACCCACCCCACCCAGTACAAACCCCATGAAAACTGTACAGGAGCCAGACTTTAATTCCTTTAAGAATTACATAAATACTGAGTTTAACACTTAGAAAAATAAAGTCTTTTTTTTTCAAGGCTTCTTTTGTTTTTTGTTTTGTTTTTTAATTAAAAAATGAAAGACAAAAGTTACAGTAGCTGCTTCCTTTCCCCTAAAAAGTCTGCAGCCTCCTTGCTCCATGGCTGGCCCGTGGGGGCAAAACCACTAAGCTGCTTGCTGCAAGATACTCCTTGTTTTCCTGTGGAAGGGATGAAGCACTTTTCACCCTCGCCGCTTCCTGTTCGGTTAGAATGAAGTGCAAGCACCTATCCAACAGCACAGCTTCTCTACCGATGAGAGAGTTTGCCGCTCCCAATGAGAGGCACAAAGTACTCTCCTGTCCTCCCTTGCAGACTCAGTAGCCCTGCAGCTTTTCCCTTTTCCCCCTGTTTTTTGCATTTGTTCACCCCAAGCCACATGCTGAAGCAACGTGACAGGGAGTTTAAAAAAAACCCAAAACCCCACAAAGACTCAACAGTAGCTGCCACCACTCCCGTAACTTCCCACTTTTGACACATGGGAAAAGGATCTTCCTCACCTGCCCCGGGGCTAAGCCTACCCTGTCCTAGCCACCCGATTCCAGGGAAGGACCGAGGGCTTCCTGGCAGACATGTATGGAACATGGTTGACAATGATGCAACACCCTGTCATGTTTCAGGGCTGCCTGAAAAGCTGTGGACCAACATCGATTATTGCGCCCCTGGCTACTGATGCCTCAGTATTATGCACAGCTGCTTGGGAAGGCTTTTAATCAAGTTTAAAAGTTACAAAAATAGAGCTCTCTCTATTTATTTCCCACTCCCTTCCTTTACAACCCTCCCTAATTAGAAAGGACTGTGGCTCAATTCCTCTTTTTTCCCCCAGAGGAAACTGCCAGCAGCAACAACAACCTGCCTGAGGGGGATGCCCACCCAAAGGCTAGGAGCAATTACAGCTACTGGGCTTCAGAGTAGTCGAATGTGTTTCCATGAAGGGCAGTGTGAGGCTAACAAAAACCCCTTTTGGCAATGAAATGTGTTATATTGCCAGACTCAACAGGCAAAAAGTTGAGAGAGGAACAACTTAGGGGAGGTATACTGAAGATGCTTTGCCTTCTGTGCCCCCACACATCCACCCCGTTTGCAACCGCCTCGGCAGCACATGGCGGGGGTAGGGAATTCTGGCAAGAAACAAACTAAAAATGAAGGCAGGTCACCAACGGTGTGGCCAGCCCACAACGCAGTCACTGATTGCTTGAAGGCACAACGCTGCAGCCAGCTTGGAGGTCCTGAACTTTGGGGGAAGAGGGAGCCCTTTTTGTCCCGGCATGGTTTTTAAAAAGAGAGATGCCTGACTCTGACAAGAAAGGCTCCCTTTGATGGTGCCTTCAAGCCCTTCTCTATTCCATCTTCTCCCCCACAGCCTCTGCTGCTGTGCCTGGTGGCAAGACACCAGGGAGGGAAGTTCATTCAGTGGTGGGGACAGGAGGGGGGAGTGAAAGAATACACTCTCACTCCAGTAATGGAAAACAGAATGAGGAGGCTTATATACATGGCAGCGCAAACTCTCCCACCTGTGAGACACAGGTTCTTTGGCTGGGGGAGGCAGGGAGACAGGGAGAAAAGACAACAGTCAATGCAGCGTTGAAACACAACAAAGCCACCCCCCTCATAGCCCATGCTTAGTTCCCTCCTTCCAGCCTTGCAGCCACATTAATATGTGTGTGTGTGTGTGTGTGTTTATGTCTGTGCGTGTAAAGTGTGAGAGAAGAAAACGTGAAAAAGGCAACAATAAATAAGTGACGGATTCCATACAAAAATAGGGACCGCCAAAATCCTGGTGCCAGGGGCGCAGCTTCAGGAGCACACTTGATCCTGGGGCCGTACGCAGCACAAAGCTGGTGGCTGTTGCTGCAGGTGTGGATGCCAGGTACACACTCCTCTCCCCCATCCCTTCCCAGGTCCTCAGAGGTCTTCAGTCACTCTTGGAACTATGTGACGTATCCAAGTTGACCACCTGCAGCTCTGTCAAGTTGGTGCTGCTGCTGGACTGCTGCCCGATGACAGCCATCTGCAGGGACAAAAGAGAATGGGACAGGACTGTTAGCAACCACATGCAAACGTGGCACAAAAAGTACAATTCCAGCTGCCAAAGGTGCAGCCACACCTTGAGGACAATGCACAGTTCCAGTAGCCCCAGCTCAAACTGCATGCAACGGCACTGGAGGACTATTTGAACTTGTTAAGAGGTGTCCTAGATAAGGCCAAATAGGTTCACAACATGTGTACTGTTTCGGTGGTGTTTTTTAAAAAAGTAAATAAATAAATAAATAAATAAATAATAAAAACAGATTAGAAGAATTAGCGACCTTCAGTTTAGAGTTGTGATCCCCAAACTGTGCCTCAAGAGGGCTGAGTGTTGCCTGGAAAAGTTAAGCCATCATGCATTCAACACTACAGTGGTCAGAGGGGAGAATCTTGTTATGGAACTGGTACATTCCTTTCTTCTCGTATAGGGGCAAGTGACATTATTACTAGGAGTAAGCATGTTCCAGGATTTCTTGAAGCAGCCTGTGCCACAGCTAACAGTCATGGGGGAATCCCAGAAGCATCGCTAAATGTTACTAAGGAACTGTAGTCCCAACCTAGTGTCTCTTAGTAGATTTTAAGGTGAAAACTTGTTCCTAATTAGTTTTTTTTCCAGTAGGTGATATTTTTGCACAAGACTACAGAGTAACATTCCTTTGCTGTTCATACCTCGGTCATAGAGGGGTAAACATAAGAAACACATGTCACTTATAATTTCAGTTTTAGAAATACAGTATGTTCAAAAATATTAGTCCACAAATATATCTGCTGTCCTCCTATCTTTACTAATAATTTCAGAATCACAGCCAAATCTGCCTTAGAAATGGGACTGTAAGATTTATGGATGTAATGAAAGATGGTGCTGGGTAAGTTATCAGGATATTACACAATGAATGAAAAAGGAAAATTCACAGTAGGCGATTATACACATGTTGCTGTAAGAATCTGAACCCTAAGTAGTAACCCTAAAGACATGTAACAGGAACCATCAGATTTGCTTGTTGTTGCTAATTTCCTAAATGTGTGTGTGGTGTTTATATGCCATTGAGTTACTTGTAGCACAGGACTCCCCAAACTTAGTAATTGCATTGTTTTCCTTTTAACTTGCCTACTTCATCTTCACTCTTCTTTGTCAATTTTCAAAATTTAACGTGTCAGGCCAGGATCTGAGAGACCCAGGTTCTGATCTTCACTTGCCATGGAAGCTTGGTCTAAGCACAGCCCACCTCACAGGATTGTTGTGAGGATAAAATGGAGGACAGGAGAATGACATGAACCACTTTGGTCCCCAATGGAAAGAGAGGTGGAGGATAATTGAAGTAAATAAATAACAGCAAGAGTTTTATGGACAAAAATGCAGATAACTTTAAGCCTTGATGGAAGACAATCGCGGTGAATTTCTTTTCAAATAATACACTTTCTTTTGTTTACTACAGAATTTGTTTTCTACCTTCAATTTTTATTTTTTCTTACCTCTCAGATGTGAAAAATTAAAGATACATGTGCTACGGTAGCATAAGATACAGAACTTGCAGCTCTTTCTCAAGATTTAGGTGTACTTAGGAGTTTTTCTTCTACAAAATGAAGTCAGTTTTCTACCTTCAACTTTTATTTTTCCTTACCTCTCAGATGTCAAAAATTAAAGATACGTGTGCTACGGTAGCATAAGATACAGAAGTTTGCAGCTCTTTCTCAAGGTTTAGGTGTACTTAGGAGTTTTTCTTCTAGAAAATGAAGTCATTAACAGTGCGATCCTGTACAGAATTACTCAGTCCACTGAAATCAATGGGCTTAGACTGGAGTAATTCTGTACAGGATCGCACTGTTAGACTTTTAAATTTCATAAATATGCCAAATAGTACAATTTATATACCAAGTTATAAATGATGCAGCATTTTATGTATTTATATCAGTAAAGTAGTTTAGGTTTGATAGGAAAGTAAATTTTGCATATACTTCAATTCCCCCCACAATGTCTACTTTTCCCCCCATGAAAATTTCCAGCAATTTTATACCTCTGCCTCCTTTCTACTCTTGATGGTGGAAGCATGGGCTGATCAAGCTTTCCATTGGTAGAAGAGAAATGAAGGACAATTTTACCCAATTCCTGGACCTCACCGCTGACCACAACGCCTCACAGCACTTTATCCACAAGGCACCCTTCACCACCAGCAGTGATTCTGTTTGGGGCCTTCAGGGATGTCGGAGGAAAGGTGGAAAAGATCCACCACTGCAAGTGCCTTCCACTCATGGCTTGAAAGATATGCACTGCCAACTATTTTTAAAAAAATGTTCACTGAAGTTTGGCACATGGCACAAATGTCGAAACTTACTGAATTAGATAAGTTGAGAGGCAAAAAGCAGTTTTTCAACCCACGGTGCCCATTTCTGGAAAAAAGGGCCACCCCACCCCCACCCCCCGTGACAGCTGCTCAAGGCTCATTCCTGTGACCTGCCTGACTGGGCAAAAAGAGGAGGGCAAGAGGCATTAAAATGGGCTGTCTATCTCACTGTCATAGGAACAGTGAGAACTGTTTTGGGAGAAACTATGTATGTAGCTTTTTGAATGCAGGAGTGAAGGAAGCCTCCCATTTTAATCAAGGATCAAAAAACGTCTGTGGCTTCAGTTTCAAAAGTTTAGGGAAACATTAGCTCAGCAGAAGAGATCTGCCCGATGACTACAATTGTCACATGACCACCCAACTGTCTGATGCAACCAGACGAAATGCCCCAACTTATTTTTATGTGCTTCACATGCCAGCAGGAGTAGACATAGAAAATTCACATGGATTTTCCCCCTAGTGGAGATATTTTCTTGGGAGAAAATTTCATAGTGTAAACATGATAGGGTCCAAACAAAGCAAAATCAAACAAAGAACTAGCAGCATGCCTCTGCTGAAAATTATTATCACAGCTGGACAGCCACCAGAAACTGCAATGGCCAAGAGTGCTGCCAAAGGTTTCTGAGACACAGCCTGTAGGGCTCTTCCACCATTTGTCATTATCTGAGTAGAAGTGCAATAGATGCGGACACAAGGACATATTCATAGCTGGGTCAGATTACAGCCCATACACTCCAACATTCTGTTTCCAGCAGCAAATATGCACAGGCCCCTCGGGACGCTCACGAACGGGGGAGGTGGCCACACTCCTCCATTTGTCCATAAGTGGCATACAGAGGTATACTGTTGCTTTGGGGGGAGGGGATCCGGCTAGTCGTCCCTGCTAGTAAGCCATGGATGCATCTATCCTCCGTGAATCTTTCCACCCTGAACCTACAGCCAATTTGACTGGATGACTTTGCCATTCCCTCTCCATTCCAGGACTATGGTAGAGGGAGAAAAATGGAAGTGTTGCATTGCACTGCAGAGGCACCGGTCTAAACCGACAGTGAAGACTAATATTCTTTCTGCATTAGTATGAAACACAGGAATAGTCTGGCTTGTATATCCAGGAGGTCTAGAATTCGACATTGTCATGAACGCATTCTGCAGTGGTGCACGTTATGCATATTAAGCACTTAGTAAGTATTAACATGATTTGCATACTGGGTTGACAAGAATTTTTTTAGGGCTAGTAAACAAAGTGGAAGGATGGGTGAAATGTGCAGAGTATAGAATTAATTCCTCTCCTTATCCCCTGCCCACTGGATCAAAGAATCATAGAGTTGGAAGGGACCTCCGGGGTCATCTAGTCCAACCCCCCTGCACAATTCAGGAAATTCACAAATACCTCCCCCTCCACACCCACAGTGACCACTGTTCCATGCCCAGAAAATGACAAAAAACCTCCAGGATCCATGGCCATCCTGGCATGGAGAAAAATTGCTTCCTGACCCTATCTGTGGCTATTAAGGCTTTCAACAAAATGCGTTTACATTTACAAGCCTTTCAAGCCATAAATTAAGGGCGGGAAAGTATCGGCTGGATATTAGGAAAAAGTTTTTTACAGTAAGAGTTGTGCAACAGTGGAATCAGCTGCCTAGGCAGGTGGTGAGCTCCCCCTCACTGGCAGTCTTTAAGCAGCGGCTGGACAGACACTTGTCAGGGATGCTCTAGGCCAGTGGTGGCAAACCTTTTACAGGCCGAGTGCCCAAACTGCGACCCAAACCCCACTTATTTATCGCAAAGTGCCAACACAGTGATTTAACCTGAACACTGAGGTTTTACTTTAGAAAAAACAACTCATACATTAACTTAAGATGATCCAAACAAAGTAAGGAAAGCAATCCCAAATGCTTTCATTTACTTAAAATTATTTGGCAGAGAATTCGACACTTTAATGATGGTCTGGGCCTGGCTGGGGCGATGGCACGTGTGCCCACAGAGAGGGCTCTGAGTGCCACCTCTGGCACCCGTGCCATAGGTTCGCCACCACTGCTCTAGGCTGATCCTGCATTGAGCAGGGGGTTGGACTAGATGGCCTGTATGGCCCCTTCCAACTCTGTGCTTCTATGATTCTATAAGCCTTTCTCCATAAAATCAGAAAAGGTGTGTAAACAAAACAAACTCCTCATGTTTTCAGATTTTTGAAGTGTTTGAAAGAATTCATGAAACTTGAAAGACAGGCTGCATTCAGACACCCCAGTAAACGGGCTTGTTCAAACCATCCTTTGCACAACAGGCTCTGATATATACAACAAAGCTCAGCTTGTGTGTAGAACCCCCGTTTATCTGCTTCTTGCCTCCTCTCTCTGCCTTCTGGCAGGTTGGATGTCTTCCCTTTATTGCCCCTGCACCCAGGTGGCTGCAAGGAGTAGTGCTACTTAACAAACTTAATTTGTCTATTCAGATGCCATTTAAAAAAAGCAAAATCAGCACAAAATGTTGCTAATAAAGTAACTACAGACATCACGACTAATCAAGGCTCGATCAAACTATGGTTTGCACACTATAGTTAATTATGAAGTTTGAATGCAGTCAGAATCACTGATACTAAATTGATCAGGACAAAGCACCTTCACGCTTAGGATGTCTTTACAAAACTCATGTAATATTAAAGTTTAAAGACAGCAACAGAGTATGGAGTACTACAAGAATGCAATTTAGGTAGCTTATGCATGAGAGAGCCAAAACCCCAGACACTGGAGATATTCACCTTGCCCATAAGCTTAAAATATTGCCGAGAAAATGATCATCATCCTTAGTTTCTTTGGGAAAGTTTCACTCTAGGGAAAGGAGGCCACTGGCTTGGATACTGACTAGTGTTTCTGCAGGCGCAAGGACATCTCCTTGTGGAACATGATTTTCCCATCTCCCCCCCCCCCTCAATGACAGCCCCAAATGTTCCCAGAAATTCTGTTCATGGGGGAAAGCAAAAGGACTGGGGGGGGGGGGCGGAGATTTCAGGCAGCCACAGGAAGGTAGAGGTGGGGAAATCATACTCCATGAAGAAAAGTCCTTGCCCCTGTAGAAATGCTCATTGAGATCCAACGCTTTGTTTTGTACCTACCTGATGAAGCTGGACAGCTGAGACCGGGATTTGAACCGTCCCTGACGGCGCTGTCAAGAACACCTGAGGGACTCCACCTGCCAGACAGAGAGTCACAGTCATGCCATAAGCTGTTATTCAAAATTAACACCACTTTATAGAACACATTTCTGAACAATTCAGGCGCAATCACAGTGGCAATCGTTTTTTTTAATGGAGCAAGCATCGGTAAAGCAACTTCACAAGATCAGCTAGGAACAAGCAAAAAATAGCAATATTTTGTTGAACAAAATCCAGTGAAAGTTTATACTTAAATATAAGAACAGTTCTAACAGTCCATTTCGATTCAGTAACATCGATCTTAACTAGCCACTTCTTTTATTACCCAAGGTCTTTTCCAACTGAGGTGTCAGAGATTAAACCTGGGACCTTCTGCACACAAAGCAGGTTCTCTACCACTATAAGCACCCTTGCAGACCAGGTGCAGGGCTACCAAGAGGAAGGGGACTGGGAGGATAAAATTTGGCGGGCCCAAGCCAGCTGCAAGGCCCCTGAACCTTTTTTCCCCCTAATACTGGAACCTTTTTTCCCCCTAATACCACTCTGACTGTAGCTGCTAGAGGCACAGCACAGTAAAAAGCTCCACCTTTCTGAAAAGTTTACTAGGAGGCTGAGGGGAACCCTTGCTAACAGAATCTATCAAAGCAGTCAAAGGATGCTCCCCCCCCCCACCCTTAATATGCATGATGATAGAATGTTAATCCACTTTAGTGGTAGTACATGAGGAATAGAAGTTAGAATTTAGTTTAGCCTCCATTGCAAGTAGCACTGAAGGGGGATCTGGAGATAACGTGAGCCACAATATTCTGATTCCTTTCATTTTTGGTCCTGGAACTCCCACAATCATCTCATTTTGAGATTCCTAGTTTTATTTTCTGATGAGTTATGCCGGCCACAAATGGACAGAGAGAAGGACAAGAGGATTCTTTTATTATTATAGATGCATGTTAACAGCCGGTCAAGTCCTGACCAGGTGATCTAACCCCTCCCCCTCAAGCTTCCAAACAAAGCAAACTGGAGCCTACTTTGCCCCTGTACACTGTTTTTACTCCAAATAGTGTTGCCGCTCTATCTACCATTCCTAAGGCCACCGAGAGGGACACTCTGCCTGTGGAACAAGGCGGAGTCCCAAATAACATCGGCCTCCCCTGTTTCAAGCACTCCATGGTGCCACTCACATCATGGGCACCTGGTGCGGTGCTTTAATTCCATCAGAGTGGCATGAGCTCAGCGTGCACTGGAATGGAACTGACCGCCAAGCTGCCATTAGGTTTAGGGACTTTCTAAATTTCTAACTTAAAATTTTAAATTTGCTTCAATTCATGTTTTAATGTATTATTGCTGTATGGAATTGTTTATGGTTTTATGACATGTTGTAAACAGCGTTCCGTGCGCCTTGGTGTTTAGTCGTGTCGGCCACATGACCACGGAAACGTCTTCGGACAGCGCTGGCTCTTCGGCTTTGAAACGGAGATGAGCACCGCAACCCTAGAGTCGGACTCGACTGGCTTTCGGGCAAGGGAACCTTTACCTTTACCGTTAAGCTGCCGTGAGCCTGCTTGCAAGGTAGGGCGGGATAAAAATTGCAAAAATAAATTAAATAAACAATCTACATCAAAGGAAGATATGGAAAGTGCTGGATTTTCTGGCAACACGCTAACAGAGCTCTCTTTCTTGACTGCTATAACAGTGGAAAACATCTTTGAACAGCTTAAACTGGTGCCCTCCAAGCCTGACTATCTAACCCATAGAGTAACCAAGTTTAATAACAGCAGTCTTCAAAAATCTAGGCGTTTCAAGTAGGCAACGGCTGGACAGGCATTTCAGGGAGAAGCAGTGGACGAACATCGGAGTCAACTGGATCCCAGCTCTTCTCAGTTTAGCATTTCCAGTTCTGCAACCTGACAAAGTCTGTCTGAACATTTAGCAATACAATGGCCACATACCCTTTAGAACACAAAATTCCATGCTGAATTACCACTTGAGAGTCTTGTCTGGCATCAGGATTAGAACTTCTGACTTGAAATTATCCAAGCCCCTTATGTAAAGTATTACTAACATTTGACTACACCACGGAGCAGTCAGCAGCCTCCCATTACCCCCCACCCCGTAACTGTTAACCTCTTCCTATCTAGCTCTACCTTCATTCCCATGAAGCACCCAATAATTAACAGAAGGCATAAGGAGACTACATACTATTTTAGAAACACTTTTATACACCTGGGTCCTAATTTGGACTTACCCTGCTCCTGGACCTGTCCATGTGAAACCTGCATTGCTGATGGCCCCTGAGAGAAGGCATTGAGAACCGCGAGTCCAGCATCCGTGAGGCCTGATGTAGGAGTATACATCACTGTGTGAGGGGGGTACATCATGTGGCCTCCCACTGTGGTTGGCACCGATGAAGTCATGATAGTTGCTGGCAGGGTCACTGGCAAAACAAACCACACAGGTGTCAACCCCTACAGTGGCTCAGTCTCCTACTCTGCATCAGTGGAGCCAGTTGCCTCACTTTGTTCGAAATGTTGTACCACAGAGCCTATTCACACAGGAAGCAAATGCGGGGAGGGGAGCCACAGGGAAAGAAAATGAGAAATTGGCACATGGTGTCCACTAGTCTATTGCAAGCCCCTCTTGCATACTTGCAAATTGACGGACTCTATACATGTACTGGTAGATGGATCCTGCATAGGGCAGTTGTTCTTTATGGCTGGAAGGAGCATGGGACCCTAATTGGCTTGGAGCTGGGATACCTGAAAGACTGCCCCCTCCCATGTTGTCCAGACTGCCACGTCTCTGTGCTCCTGCCTTCAGAGGCAAGGCAGACGGCAACCAGAGACGGGGCTTTTTCAGTGGTGGCACCTTACCTTTGGAATGCCCTCTCCCTTAAGGTTCACCTTACTCTCTCTCAGGTTCCAGACCAAAACATTTCTGTTTACATTTCTCAGACTTTTAACGAAGGGGCTTCACCATTTTCAGTTGTCTTCTTGTCAGCTCCTAACCTACTGACTATTTTATAAACATCATTTTAGACTGTTCTGCTTTAAGAGCGTCTATAGTCTGGCCAGCTATCATTGGCTCTTTTTAATGACACTGATTTTATTGATTATGTTTCTGTTTGTTCTTATTGATAGCGTTGTTTTTTATTGTTTTTTCCCAGTTTAACTCTGAACCGTGCCGAGCACCATCTGGGGAGGCAACATACAAATGTTTCATATAGTTGGGGGGGCGGATGTCATTCTGTGGCCTTCAGTCTCGTGGGGCCTTTTCTCCTGCCCTAAACAGAAGAGTCCATTTTATTCCTATGATCGTGGTTGTTACCTTTTGCAGCTGACTATGTACCTGATTTTAAAGATTTTTTCCACTGCCTGTTTTATTGTCTTTATTACTGGTTTTGATGCTGCTCTACTATAAGTAGTAAGATTCTTTTGATTGCTTTAGTTTGTTCATATACATTTTACTAGGTGCACAGACATACACAGTCCTTTTCTGTCCACAAAGATCGCCATCTCTTCCTGTTTCCAAGCCAGCTCCTAAGGTTTGTAAGAATTTTTGCAGTCCTGTACATTACTTTGTTTTAGGTGTACAAGCATACACCTAAAAGAAAGAATTAATACAGAAAATACATGTTTACAAACATGTGCACCAAAACAGGTACACTCATAGGGACTGGCTACAACTCAGTCAGTGGCACAGGCCAGCTTGTTACTATATAATATATGGAGCAATCTGCAGACAGGAACCAGTTGACTGATTTGGAAAATATAATCTGACTAAAAAGACAGCACAGGATTTTTGTAAGTAAACAGATTCCCATTAACCCCACTAGATGGCACTAGAATTATGCTGTGTTAGAACAACCAATGCTTTTCCTGGAGTTCTTCTGCTCACTTCTCAGCATGGTCCAGGCAAGAGCTGCCAACCTCGAGGGCAACTCAGTCCCACAGGCAGTGACTCACTTTTGCACAGAATATCTCCAGAGACAGGCCTTATTTAAAATAAGCTCCAGGTATCATTGACTGCACTCTTGTAGGTCCCCAACAAAAGGCATGAAGATCTCAAGAGATTTCCCATAGCAATCTAACCACAAGAGAGAGCTGACAGGTTAAAATTAGAAAGATCCAGGCCTCTGAAAAGACATGCTATACTAGCCTACAGTGCCTAGAAGTATGTATGTATGTATGTATGTATGTATGTATGTATGTATGTATGTATGTATGTATAGGCCAATTTTCTCCCCAGCGTGGACCCAAAGCAGTTTACATCATAATTCCCCCTTACTTTATTTTATGCTCACAACAACCCTGTGAGTTGGTGAGGCTGAGAAAGCATGACTGGCCCAAGGCCACCTAATGAGCTTTCATGGCAGAGCAGGGATTTGAACCCAAGTTTCCCAGGTCCTTGCCCTGACCTGAGTGGACCCAGGCTAGCTGGATCTGGGAAGCTAAGCAAGGTCAGCCATGGTTAGTACTCGGATGGGAGACCGCTAAGGAAGACCAGGGTTGTTATGCAGACAATGGCAAACCACCTCTGTTCATCTCTTGCTTTGAAAACCCTCTGGGCTGGCCACTGGTTGGCTGCAACTTGACGACCCTTCCCCCATCACCAATCCCTCGCTTTGCCTCTCAGCTGTGCTGGGGAGCTATAGCTTAGTGCTTACCTGTCCCGCTGGAAGAGGTCTGAGTGAGGTCAGTGCTGCTGTCAGTTGTGGGAGACGTCTGCTGGGGGGCCTGATGCAGCTGGATGGTTTGCACAGGAACTTGCTGAGCCACAGTACTACCTAGAAGACAAGACAGCATCGTTTTCATTCCTGGCTTCATTTATCTGCAAGAGATATTAAGCTGCCTTTCCAGCACCACAATGTTAATGTACATCAAGCATATATTAAAAACAACTTTTTAAAAAAATTGTTTGAAATTATTCAGTGGCATTGACCACTGGCCGCAGCAATACCAGGAAAAGCAAATGGTAATGTCTGCAATGCACCTAACATGGCTGAATGAGACTTCAAAAAGTTGAGATGTTTCTCTGTGTTGCTTATCTACTTATTCTTTCTGTGATGGGCACAGGAGAGGCAAGGAGGAAGGCCAGATTTAAATTTACAAGGAACAGGCATGGGTCCAACACCAGTTCTTAAAGCAAACAAGAGAAACCAGCTTCTTTTTCAAGGATATATATATTCACACAGATTGAATTAAAGTTGGGATATCCAATTGGAAAATTGCCCGAGGACCAGGCACACAAGCAGCTTTGCATAGTATTCCTACGTTGGCATACGGGCAGAATCAGTCCCTGCTTCCACATGTCTAAAATATTTAGACATCGGTATAACAGCAGTCTTGCTAGATCAGACTAGGGTCCATCTGCTGTAGAATCCTGTGCCCCACATTGGCTGTGAAGATGCTTCTGAGAAGTGGCAAGAGAAGAAGTTGTGAACAACCTCTTAGCAGCAGCTGAGTGTACCACAGAGGCTTCCTTCCTTCCTTCCTTCCTTCCTTCCTTCCTTCCTTCCTTCCTTCCTTCCTTCCTTCCTTCCTTCCTTCCTTCCTTCCTTGTACTTAAACCTGGACATGGCCAGAGGCACAAGGCCTTTGGTTCCTGCCTCCCCAAGCGGGACACAACTAGTAATGGAATAGAGCACTTTCCTCCATTTGCAGTCTGATAAAATATTTGAATACCTCCCCTTATTTTATTTTTAAGAAATCTTCCTAAAGGACTTCTTCCTGATGCGTTAGTGTGTGTACGGGCAAGGAGGAGTTCGTTTTCTTTAATATGGGAAATAACCAAACGTTTGATTTCCCACCTGCAGTTTGAAGTGCTACAGCTCAACAATCTATACCTTAGACAGGCATGCTGATAGTGTCGATTAGGTCTAAAATCCAACCACAGCTGGAGGAGGGGTGAGGCAGATGAGCGCTTCTGACATCTGGGAGCAGCATTGCCTAGTTGCTGCAAAAACTCGAGTTCTTCTTGTGGAATCTGTCCGTATCACTGAGATAGATTAGGAAGATGGTTTCAGTGTTATCTTGCCATATCTTTTTCCAATCTTCCCTTCAAGGAGCTCAGGACAGTATTAAAAATTCTTTCCTCTTCCATTTTATTCTCTCGACAACCTTGTCAGGTGGGTAGGTCAAGCAGAGAGAAGGTGACGGGCCCAGTCACCCTAGTGAAATTCATGGCTGAATGATGACTTGAACCTGTGACTCTTCACTTCTCGTCAGACACAACCACACTAGCTCCTCTCTCGAGACCATATTGTACCTGAGAAGATACATTTATCACCTAGTGATGAAGGGAGCCAAAGGTTATACCCTCAAAATTTTGTTGGTCTCTAAGGTGCTACTGGAATCAAATCTAGCTCTTATCACCGAGTGAGAGGCTGCCAGCGAACACAGAATGTATATCTGGAGGAAGGAAGAGATTGAGGCAAAAAATGGGGAATTAGGGGTTGTACTTCAGCTGCTGGTTGAGGGAAAGA